AACATTTTCACGTATGGCACTAAGAGACGTCAATTATTTTTAAAGTTTTATTAAATTGATGGTGTCACTTTCTATGCGATTGCAGTTTCGTTCCAAGGCTACAAGCTACTTGTTGAGTTGTTCTGTCAAATTTGAGTAAGTAGATCCCAAGCAGTTTGTGTCTAAATTTCAAGGATGCATTACGAAAAACTGGCAGAATTTCTGTGTAAAACGGTAATCTTCTGTGTAATTTAACTTGACATCTCTGAGTGCGGACGTTATTAAGACTGTTTTGTACTACATTTTACTTTATTAGTTATTATTATTAGAGTAGTAAAATAAATCATTCCTAGGTACAACTAGTACAAAATTATTGCCGCGCCAAGTTTCTTTTAACCAACCATTATAATAGGTATCTACCTATTATAAAGAATAAATTTAAGAAAGAATTAAAAGATAAAGTATCTACTTTATCTCAGTATTTAATCCTGTTTTAAAGATAAATTTTTAGTCGAGCAATTACAAATTAAATATATATTCAGTGATAATTATGAAAGTTCTGGTAAGTAGAAACTCAGATCAAAATTTGATATGAAGGTAGATACTGCTTGACTCAAAACTTTTACATTTCTTAACACTAAAGAACTTGGACTGCCATGTTGCGAGTTTGGTCTATGATTGAGTTAAGGTTCCTATTTAATGCAGTGTAAATAAAACGCTGTTTATGTAAGTAGCTCTATCTAGGGAAATGTGGTGAAACTGAAACTTAAGACTCGGCGTATGCAGTTGATTCCCCCGCAGCTATTTATTTTAATATATATAATAAATAAATAAATATTTTCCACACACACACCAACTGGTCTAGGTCCAAAACGTAAGCACTGTAGGGCTTGTGTCATAGGATGCTAGGTAACGGATGGAATACATATACTGATACATACTAGTGATACGGTCTTGGTCTTGTTCTTGCATTTACGCAAGACCAAGAACAAGACCACGACCGCCTAATTTTAGCAAGACCAAGACCTAGACTGACCGTGCAAGATTTCATCAAGAACAAGACTAAGCCTGCGAGATTCTCGATCTTGCAGTAAGAACTGAGTGTCATTTCAGGGAGTATTGGAGTACGGGTATACGCTTAAGGACTCTATGAGTCGCAAAATACATATTAAAAAATTGTAGAAAATTGGACTTATCACATCTTGACTGTGAATTTTGCGTAACTAAAATACTCAGAAACATGAAAATGAAAATGAAGATAACTATTGGAATATTTCGTAGCAGCCTCGCTTTAAAATTTTGCTTGCTTATCTTTTTTATTAAACTCAAAATTGCAAAGATCGGTTTTTGACCACATCGATTGAGCACTCTACTAAACAAATGGAGTAAAAAAAAAATATTATCTCTTAATTTGGTCAAATAGTTTGTAGCGGCTTCGGCATTTAGAAATATCATTGATTAAAATGTAGAAATATAATCTTTTTCTTTACCAAAATGCTACGAAAATTGTTCTAAGTTAACTTTATGTATATTTTTCCCCAATCTACGATATTATTATTAAACAAAATTTAAATCACAATAGTATATGAGTAAAACCCCCCTTCTGGGTAAAAACCACTAGCTCATAGAAACTAAAACCAACGTAATAACTATAGTTCCCAACATTTCTTTTTTATCATGACTGGGAGCGCAATACCAAGACCAGATGTATTGACGCAAGACCAAGACTGGTCCAGTCTCGTCTTGTTCTTGTAGTTGGGCAACACTAGTACATACATACACAAGTATATTTTATATAAAAAAATATATATAAACATCCAACGACTAAGGTACAAATGCTCATATTCATTTGCCCCCAACGGGGATTCGAACCCGGGACCTTTGAGTAGGCGACGCCATGTAACCCGGCGTATATACCACTCGGCCACGGAGGTCGGAGATTTATTCAAGCAATAAGGAAACACAAAATTAACCCCAACTTTAAGAAAATAAGTTTGATAAACATGCTATTGTGTTTCCTTTACTTGCAAAAAAAATATTAAAATAAATTGCGCCAGGGGAATTAACTGAATACGCCGACTCTCAAGATTGAAAGACCGAAAAGAAGACCTTTGAGTGCAGAGATCTAGTCTAACAATGTTATTTACTGGCTACCATACTGCAACTTACAATGGAGTAAAAAGTGTAGTTGCATTCAGAGTGTTAAACATAGTTAGCATGACAAAATGTATATTAAGTATCTGACACAATGACAACGCAGCCTTGTGTGAAATTCACATCAGAAAAAAACTAGGAGCTGGCTGGAGATGCGTCGAAATGTGATATCCGTCTTATGACAAAGGTTTCATAAGTCGTTGTTAACCGATATCCGATACGAGGTCGATACCTACTACGAGCCGCATAGCGAGTCTAATGTTTACAACTTACAACAAACCTCATCTGTATATTTGTTATCTATTTTTATTAAAAAACCACAAAAACATTATTCATAATATTATCCTCATTAGATATAAAAGATCTGTTTGAAATAAAGGACAATGGCTAACTCCCATACTAACTTTTGTTGAAAAATTTTTTTGCGTCTATAAATGAATTGCATGTTAAATTATAGAGTTTAGATTCTAGATTTGAATCGTCTTATTTCTTTTATCATAGGAAGTCTGGATTTATAGATATTCTACTTTGAAGTTTTGGAGGTTATGTTATACCAAGTAATATAAAAACGAACTATAAAAGTATTTTCAAGCGCATTTTTACATCAAAATAAAAACGGAACGGAACTATAGAAGTATACCGGTCCCGTAGATTATTAGTGACGAAAAAAAATGTTTTTTATTATGATGTATGATCAGTGGGCGTAGGTACTGACCGGCCGCGTCAAAACACATAATAATACTTAAAAGAGAGAGAGAACGGTTATTGAGTTCGAATACAATGTCTGTAAGAAGTACTTAACAATTTGAAAATGCCCACAGCAAAAATAAAGAATAAAAATGGATTTCTAATAGTGTACTAATGGGATATTAATTAAATATGAAACACTTTTTATATATTTTTTATTCCACATCTTCTTTGATTACAATATCGTAGATAGTAGATACAATGAAATAAAATACACAGTATGGGACAGAATCGTGTCCAAAATCCACAGCAAGTCGGCCAAAATATCAGATTCGGAGACCTAGGCAAGCACGACTCAACAGTCGTAGAAGATTTCGAAAGTCCAAATGCAGTCCAAGTCACATAAAAGACAAATCTCAGAAAAAACACAATACGCCGATTTTTGCAATACGCATGCACATAAGCAGAAGCAACGATAATGATAACAATAACAACAACAATTCGATGACAAGCATGACAGTGACAGTTATAGTTTTTTGCGTTAGAATTGGCGCCATACTATTTTTGTATTGTGGAGAATATTTATTATGGTTTCTAATATTGAAAAATAATGTTTCCCGATATTTTTGATAGATAATTAAATACAGTTTAAGCGTAAAGCTATGCAAAACATACAAACTACTTATTTAAAGTTGATTTCATCATTAAAATCACTTAAAATAAATGGCTCAAAAGCCATGATGCCAGGCCACAATAAGAAAAATAAATAAATAGTCAATTGTGTATCCCTTTTTTAAGTTTTTAATTCCAGACTTAGACAAACCTCCTCAATTATTTAATAAATCTTTTGAGATTATTTTATTAACATTTCTGATAGTGGCATCTATAGACGCTAAAGATTTACTTCAACAAATATTTCGCCATTGTCCTTTAAATTTCTTATTGCCTTTTTGTAAAATAATAAAATTTGCACTACATTAAAAACATTTTTTTTAATTTATTAAAAAAAATGTCGTTTTAACGATACTAAGAATTGTCTCTTCTATACCAAAGAAAAAGTAAATATAAGGCGGTTAATTGGAGCAGTCAGCGATCGAAAAACTATAATAATAACCTTATATTACGAGTTCAGTAATTAATTATAATAAAATTGACACTCCTCCTCTAATAGGTAACTTCTATTATTTTAAAACGATCGGTCGATGTACAAAAATATGAAAAAACGTAGCACCGCCGCCGCGCCTCTTGATTCCCAATATCTCATTCACGGAAATTATATGGGTCTATTATAGCGACATTTGTATGAAACATTATAAATATGTTTCATCAATGATGTCTATATATCTTCAGGCCGAGTCCCGGGTGGGGTAGGCAGAGAGAATAGAGCGTCGTAAGACGTGTCTTAAGAAAATATGTAGGGACCGTGATTATAGGACCTGGCTTATGTTCTTACTGCCAAGAAGCAAAGCTCTATTCACTGTATTTCCTGCACCCACTGCTCTCTCTATGTCACTTTCTACCCCTGTTAAAAGCACACCCAAGATACACGACACCACTAGTTCTTGCATTACATCGTCAAAAAAACTAACGTTTCATCAATGAATAAAATTAGTATCAGAAACAATTTTTGGTAGCCTAAATTAATGTTTTACCTCTATTTCTTTTTAGAATCATATTTTCTGTAAAACAATCCAAACGCCTGCTCTAAATTTCATACCTGCCTCCTATAGCCTGACATTTTAATTCAAAATATACATAGATAACAAATTAACTTCAAGCAATTCTTTTGTTATATATATGTTATATATTTATGTATGTTGTTTATTTTACGTATTCTCATCGTACCTCCAGGGTATCCTATAGAGTATACTAGTATTTTGAACATTTGTTACTAATAAGTAAGTATTTCTAATAAGAAAATAAGAAAGATTCTTTAGCAATCATACTATGAGAGAAAAGGCATCTTCTTTTACCGAGGATGGGATATTGAGAACCGCAGCTCAACTTGGGAATGTCACTTAAAAATATTCGACAAACTGTGGTATTTATATATGTTATACGTTATGTCTTAAATGCCCTTTACAAATAATCTAATAATAATTATTGATATAAGGTAACATACAAAATAGTAATGATCATTATTTATCAGTGTAAACTTTGTACAAAATTCGGTGTATGTGTTATGCGCTTGCAATTTCGGCGGCCTTGTTCAGAATTAACGATACATCCATAGGAGGAAAATTTTGTAGTAGTTTAACATTTGATGCAAAGTCGCCGTTCAGCAAGTTTTCTCTCACCAACCTAAAAGTTTACGACGCACATTAAAGACAATAAACGACAAATACTTGAGTGATAATAACCACGTCGTTTCTAATCATTTAATAGAGAAAACTACTGTTGAGTGCAGTATATTTCGAGTACGACTATTCGAAGACAAGAGTTTGGTCTTTTTCATAAACAGTCCTTGTAGCATGAGCATCACAATTTACATTATACTTACCACTTTTTTTTATCACGTTTAACTGTCAAACTCCCTAGGAATTTGTCAATTTAGCGTGATAAAAATGAGCTATATATCATATCTATGCTAGGGGGGCAGATATCTAGGAAAGGAAATTGCTTATTTTGGAGTAGAATAAAGTAGCAAAATTTACATAAATTAGCTAACATTTTAAATATCAATATTGAAAAAATTTGGAATTTCTTTTTCGAATATTTTTATAAACATAATAATATTCTTTATTTCAAAAGTTAATAATTAAATGTAACAGTGTCATATTCATTGACATTAACTATATTATTTTATACTTGCATAATTATAAGTAATAGGAATACTCACAATATCATGGCACAGCAAATGTAAATGAGGAAGTTGAACCTTTTTTCATCAGCAAACAACGAGTCCCAGATCCTTTCCACGTCAGGAAGGGAGAATTCTTGAGAGAGCAACAGCGTCAACCATCTGAGCAAAAAAATTTAGCGGACACAAGTCCAAGAAGAAAATGTCATCCTACTTCCTACTAATATTATAAATGTGTAAGTTTATTATTTTTATTATTTATATGTTTGTTACTCCATCGCGCAAAAATTACTGAATGGATTTGGATGAACTTTGGAGCGCATATAGTTTATGAATTGCATTAAGACACGGGGTACTTGTTATCCCGGAAAAGTGAAGTTCCTAAGGGATTACAAAAAACTAAAGTTAACGCGGATTATGTCGAGGGAGGCCGTTAGCACAAAGTAAGTAAATATTTCATATACCAACACCAATTAGCCTATCCTCAAAGTAAGCGCTTGGGTCAAGAGATACCTAACTAACGGATATACATAATAATGACATACGTAATTTTTTTTATGTAAATAACCTATTTTTGCCTTATTTTTTATGGTAAATTGTCATATAAGGATTTGTTATGGTACTAAAGAAAATAATAATGTTTTTACTTCGATTATAGTTAAAATACCGGTAGTTCCTTATAAGGCCAATCAAAAATTCGACGGTTGGCCTTGCTAGGGTATATGGACCTTACTAAGAACATTTACAAGTAATTCAAATATGAACACTTAGTTTATGGTTATAAATACGTACCGGAAAAGTTTTATGTTTATAATATAATTATTTATAAGGGTTATTTAACTTAACCCTTTTAGAAAAAAATTGGCCTTACAAAGAACGGAACCATAAAAAGGCCAATTTTGTTATATATAATTTAATTCCTAAAAGAATTGGCAACTTATTTGTTATTGATGTAATACTCATAACAATATTTTTTTAAATAATTTTCATTAATATATTCTTAATCGATAGTGTTCAAGAAATATTCGTTTAGCTTTTTAAAGAAGATTACAATTTGTTAAGCATTTAATGTTTCGTTTAAATGAAAAAGCTTTTATTATAGTTTTAGTAAAAGAGGATATTTCGATAATTACAATTCCAGTTTTAAGTTGAACAATTGTTTTATAATATTGGCCCTGTTCCTAGTATGGCCGTGAGGAAGAACTTAATAAAAGTTAAGTTTAATTAATAGTGATTACATTTAAAACAAAAAAAAGTAATTTATATGTTACACAATAAAAGTGTTTATTAATAACTTGTTTCTTTCATTTATCCAGTGAATGAACTAATATAAACAGTTTACATTTTTGTTAGAGTGGCCTTCCATGGTCCACCCACCTTACTACAAATTGTATGAAAACCGAGCGTGTCATATTTTGAGTACTCACGAATAAGTTATATAAAAAATAAAAAGTGGTGGTCAACCGTTTCAATTTTTAATATTACATAGCGAGATATTTTTTGAAATTGCGGTTAACGTCCGGTGTTTAGAACGATGAGGGGAAGAGGTAAAATAGCGTAAAAGAGAGAATTTTGGCATGCTTTTTAGTACGCGTAACCCCACACGGCAGGGGCGTATACAGTACAACACTCACCTGAAGCTGTAGTACTGCGGGCGCAGTTCCTGCAGCTCGAGGCGGTCCCACACGGCGGGGTCGTGGCTCCGCAGGCAGCTCCCTAGGCGGTCCATCATGTAGTTGATACCGCTCTCGGTCTCGTCCAGGGTGCGTATAAAGAAGTCGCGGATTTCCGACATCAGATTCGTGAAACTAAAGAAACAGTCCGCCTCCGCGTGCTCTGTTACAAGGAAAAACCACCGGAATGTCAATTATATATTTAGGGGATGATAACTAACTTATTGTTCTTGCCTTTCTCAGGTATTGGATACGTACTTCCTCTTTATGGCACACATAATCAAAACATTACAGAGATAGATATTGATTATAAAAGTTGCAAGACGTCAGGTTTTGCTACGATTTTTAATTAGAAGTGACATCATGAGTCCCCAATTGAAACTGTGACACGTTTTATATACCTATGTCATTTTTTGGTTGATTAAGAAAAGAAAAAATTAGAATATTATCAAAAAACTAAAATATTTAAAACTCTATCTGCATTGATTTTAATTTGTTTCGTTGGCTAATTCAGAACTGATGTTTTAATAAAAAAAATCTTGATACAAAATAGCAAAACATGTGACGTCACACTAGGGAAGGGTCGGACTCACAAAATATGACCAACTAGGACGGCGGAAGGGTAAAAAAATTAACGAAATTTGTGTGATATATTTTATGGATGACCCCCTAAGAGAAGGCTTTTTTTTACAACTCACCCCTGTTATCTTTATCCGCGTCGTTGGCGAATGTGTGGTATATGGGTCCTATGATTTCGTTCATGCCTTGCACGTACCCTTGGCCGGGGTTCAGCTTGGCGTAGAGGAAGAGCATTCGCTCCACCACCTCCCAGTGAGCTTCGCACCCTTCGTTAAGAGGAACGTAATCACCGCTAGTCAAACTGTCCGATCGCCGTATTTCGCTGCTCAGCTGTTTATATTACGTTTTTCATTGAGAACCAAACAGTTATACGTAAGTGGCGGCGACTTCTTCTGCGTGGAAAAATTGGTTTCCCATACAACCCCCCCCCCCCTTCACCACCTTAAAAGATAATTTCTGCGATAAAAACCTTCCTTTGCCCTGTCCCATGACTCAAACAATCTTTTTACTAAGTTTTATCTAAATCAGTTGAACGGTTGAAGCGTGAAGAGGTAAAAGACAGACACACTCACATTTACAATATTAGTAAAGTACTTATGGATTATCTACCTAAACAAAAAAGTAGACTTAGGCCCGTATTATAGAAAGATTCTCAGTGATTGGTGTAGTCTTGAGCAGTTAAAAAGGGATATCGCTATATATTATAGCACATAGCGACATCTTATTCTAACTGTACTCAAGTAAAGATCAAGACTTAGTTGTCATTCTGTAAAACGGGCCTTAAAATTGAACCTATATAGAGTTATGCCTAACCTAGTAGGCGTAGGACTAGATAGCTAGGTAACCATACTTATATTATAAATGCGAAAGTGTGTCTGTCTGTCGGTTATTCTCTTCGCGCTAAAACGGCTGAACCGATTTATATAAAATTTGGTACAGAGATAGTTTAGAGTCCTGGAAAAGGAAATAGAATAGTTTTAACCTAAGAAATTATCCCTGAAGATGATGAAAAGGGGAGTAGAAGTTTGGATGGGAAACAGATATTTCCAGGCAGACAAAGTCGCGGGCACCCACGGGTCATAATTATATTACAAAGTTTGTTCTACATAATGTGTATATGATGTTAGCTATCTAGGACTGCAATTTTGCTGGTGTTTTATAAAAAATAACCCCGTATACATGTAATGGTTTGATAGTTGAGTGTCGACAATTAAAAGCTTTATCATAATCGCAGTGCCCATGCAAGGAGGGACATCTCCAGCTGCTTTCATAGATGAAGACAAAAACTTGACAATCAATCATGGATGGAGCACTAAACACCATTACCATAAGCAAACATAACTGGACATGGCAAGTAATTTAAGCAGAAAAGAGATAACGTTATTTTACTCGGAATGTAGAGAGCTGGAAATGGCATACAAATCATAAGATTTTTTGAATCTTGATATAAATAATAATAATTACGCCTAGAACACGAGAAAGGCGCAACTCAAAATGAGCTAGATCTGGCTTAGTTCGTTTCGCGAGCTGTCAGTAGTGCTCAACGGCGAGTAGTGCCGTACAATACTCACGAAAAAAAGATAGTTTTACTATTGAAGAATATTTCTTACACATATGAAAAAATAAATAAAATGAGAGGGTATACATTCCACATGTAATTAATACATTTCATGTTACGTATATCGACTAAAAGTCAATTATTTATACACACAACTTTTTACAATACAATGCTGGAAATTGTGGGGGGAAAATCCACACAATTATATTTATTGATTAATAGGTATATATTGTTATTGTTACTTTTCCGAGTAAATTAGTCAATAAAAAAACTATATTAATTAATTGCTGTATGGTTAGGTAGCAGATGAAATATAGGTAGACGTCGAGTCTTAGTTCAATTCAAACACGTCACTTTGAATATTCACTTTAATTTACCTAATCCAATTTTTACAGTCACAGAAGGGCTAGTAACACACTGGAATAATGAATGGCAGGTCTTACAACTATTTATAATGTAGAACATACGCAATAACAATAGGTTTGACTAGTCCGAACGGAGCGCAAACAGTCATGCATTCGCCGTGGGATCGTGATACAGACTGGTGCGCGCGGCTACTGAACGGCCGGCGGAGGAGTCGGTTACGCGAACAAAAGAATTTAACTAGGAACTCGTTTAGAGTGCGCGTGTCCATTCCGAACTTACGACAAATTGGCACGTCTTTATAAATAGATATTTAATATGGTAATTTAATGTTTTTGTGAATATTTGTTTATATATAATATAATTATGTATATTTAATATGTATAATATTTTGTTATATATGATATGTATGTTATTTATAATTATGTATATTATGTTTATTTATTAGTATATGTGGAAAATAATATAATGTTGCCACATCACTCCCCCCCAAAGGCCTGGTTAGGGACGATAAAAATCTGGAAAACGCACATGTCTTCCAGAACGTGTTGTTCGATACATATTTGTAGGTGTTGGAGGAATGTGTGGTGACGATTCTGTTACCTTATTTTGCGGTGTTGATTTTGGTGAGGAAATATCAGCACCATCGTCATCCACCAATATAAAAGCAGGTTTTAGGCGATCAATGCTGACGGTTACCTTATTACCTTTGATAAATATTTTAAATGTCTTATCATTGCGTGCTAAAACTTTATGAGGGCCAGAGTATGCTGGTTGAAAGGGAGCCCGCGAAGCATCTTCACGGAGAAAGACATGGTCCGCGGTGGCTAGCTCTTTGAAAATAAATACTCTGCCCTTGTGATGACGAGAAGCTGCTATTGGTTGCAATTTCTCAGCGAAAGAACGCAGCCTTGCGGTGAAATCTGACAAGTCAGTGGTACCGCTTGAACTGGGGTTGAAGAATTCGCCAGGAAGTCTGAGAGGCTCGCCATACAGTAACTCAGCTGAGGAAGCCTGCAAGTCATCCTTAAAAGCAGTTCGGACGCCCAGGAGCACTAATGGAAGGGATTCTGTCCAGTTAACATCGGCGTGGCAAGTAATAGCTGCTTTGAGTTGCCTATGAAAGCGCTCGACAAGTCCGTTGCATGCAGGGTGATATGCAGTAGTGCGTTTATGCTGGAACCCTACAAATTTCGCAAGACACTGGAACAATGCGGACTCAAATTGTCGACCGCGATCTGTAACGATGTCTATAGGACATCCGAATCTAGATATCCAGCTGGTAATAAGAGACTTCGCTACAGTCTCAGCAGTAATGTCCATAATTGGACAGACTTCGGGCCACCTGGTAAATCGATCGACGGCTGTCAAACAGTAGCGGTAGCCGTTCGAAATCGGGAGAGGGCCTATTAAGTCAATGTGGACATGTTTAAATCTGGCTCGCGGCAGGTTAAAATTACCTATAGGCGCAGAGACATGTCGTGTTACTTTTGCCCGCTGACACTGTAGACAACCACGTGTCCACTCTCTGACGTCTTTTCGGACTCCGGGCCAAACAAATCGCTGAGCTACTAATTGAGCAGTCGTATTGGCCCCTGGATGGCTAAGAGAGTGAAGACTGTGAAAAACTTGCTTGCGAAATTGTTTTGTAACGAATGGCCTGGGTGCCGATGTACTGACATCGCAGTACAGAAGCGTACGACTCCCAGGAACGGTGATTTGTTGCAAGCGGATGGAAGAAGAATTAGCCAGGTACTCAGCCAGTTCAGGATCAGACGATTGCGATCGAGCCAAATCCTCTAGACAGATTGGAGCTTCCAGTGCTTCGACGCGAGATAAAGCATCGGCAACGACATTGTCCTTACCGGCAATGTGCTTTATGTCGGTCGTAAACTGTGAGATATAGTCCAAGTGTCTGTGCTGGCGGGGTGAACAGTTGTGTTTTTGATCACTAAAAGCGTAAGTGAGGGGTTTGTGGTCCGTAAACACTGTGAAGTGCCTCGCCTCCAGCATGTGGCGAAAGTACTTGATGGCCTCATAGATAGCGAGAAGCTCTCGATCGTATGGTGAGTATTTCGCTTGCGCTGGGCTCAGTTTCCGAGAGAAGAACGCTAATGGCTGCCACTTACCTTCGATCAGCTGTTGAAGTACAGCTCCCATGGCTAAGTCTGACGCATCAGTCACCAATGCTAACTTGGCTCGGCAATCAGGGTGGGCAAGCATTGCAGCATTGAGTAGGCTTTCCTTGGTGTCTTGGAAAGCCTTCTGAGCATCGCCATTTAAATCAATGGGAGTTGAACCTTTGACTGCACCGGTAAGAAGCTTATTGAGGGGAGCCTGGGTAAGAGCTGCGTTTGGCAAAAAACGACGATAAAAGTTCGCCATGCCCAAGAAACCTCTTAACTGCTTGACAGTCTTTGGTGCTGGGAAGTTACGGATAGCTTCTACCTTAGTGTCCAAGGGTTTGGTACCGCTCTCAGAAATGCGATAACCTAGGAAGGTTACCTCGGGAACTCCAAATACACACTTGGATACATTAATCACCATACCGTACTTCCTGAGTCTAGTAAACAGTAGCCGTAAGTGATGTTCGTGCTCCGGCTGACTTCTAGAAAAGACTAGAAAGTCATCACAGTAACAGTATACGAAGTCCAGCCCGCGCGTCATCTCATCGACAAATCGCTGAAATGTTTGGCCTGCATTGCGCAGACCAAATGTCATAAATGGGAATTCGTACATACCAAATGGGGTGGTGATAGCCGTCTTGGGTATATCCTCTGGACAAACAGGGATTTGGTTATACGCCTTCACGAGATCTATAGTGCTAAATATTTTACAGCCAGCAATAGAATAAGCAAAATCGTGAAGGTGTCTAATTGGATATCTGTCGGGGATGGTCCTTGAGTTGAGTCGTCTGTAATCCCCACAGGGCCTCCAGCCGTTATCTTTTTTGGGGGCCAGGTGAAGAGGTGACGACCAGGGACTATCAGAGGGTCTCGCTGTACCATCAGCAAGCATGGCCTCAAATTCTTGCTTAGCCACTTTCAGCTTATCTGGAGCCAGTCGTCTTGGTGTGCTTGTAACAGGCGGACCTGGTGTGGTACGAATGTGGTGTTGAGTGTGGTGTGTTATGTTACGGTGAGTGCCAGCTGGTCGCGTTATATCAGGAAATTCCTGATTAAGCAAGCTATGAAAGCGTGATTCGCCGGTCAATATTTTTACAGAACTCACACAATTAAAAGGTGCAAACAAAGCAGAAGCAGAAAGGCTAGTGGTATTATCTATAAGCTTTTGATTTCTACAATCGACAACTAAATTATAAAAAGCTAGGAAATCTACTCCTACAATAGGCTTTGTGACATTAGCAACAATAAAGCGCCAAGGGTAAGATCTACGTAAATTAAAATCT